TTGAATTTGAGACTGAGAGTGTTTAGAGAATGTGAGGGTAGAGGTGAGGGGTTATTCCTAACGAGGAAGAAAAGGGTCATTATATAGAATGATCATTTTTTTAGAAAGGAGAAAGTGCAAAATGATTCTCATTTGTGACATTGAGGAGGATGTGACAAATGCAAGGGGTGGGGTTCATATAGATGTAGAGAAAGGGTCGTGTTTGTGAACTACTGAGGTCATTGAGTGTGTGTGTTGTGACTTGTGTGTGAATTTTCAGTTAAAGGGGTGTACTTAGGGGTCTCCCTCGCTTGGCCATGTCACAGGCATTCAATGTTTGTGACTTGGGGCAGTATATGGGTTCGATGCTAGGGTAATGTCCACATGGTGTAACATTTGTAGTTATTTTGCTCCGTCAATCTCGTATGTCAACAACACACATGTTACCATGAACCCTAAACTCACCATACTCGTTATGTTACCGTGGAATGGCCTCATTATTTACTACTCCCACAGGTGTCCAAAACAATACTAAGGTTGTACTTATGCTATACTTTCTGGAAGTACTATAGGGAGCTTCACAAGAGTCCTTGTGGAACATGGAAGCTCGTATGATAGGTAGGTGCAACTAACGTTCACTACTATAGATTCCTGATTGTAGATTAGGAGGACAAATAGGGAAGACGAAGTCCCCCAATTATCATTATTGGTGGTCATCTTGGGATGATTGGTCACCTTATGTTTATGATCTCTATTAAAATCTAGATGATTAAATCCTTCTTGATGTTTGATGTTTAGTTTAATCAATTATTCTTGTATACAGACGTCATTGAAAACATAGAGGAAAGCAAGGATGGGTAGTACAAAATACATGGTATCATGTGGACGTCCATATAAGAGAAAATCTGTTAGTTTAATATTGTTTTTATTTGAAGTCTTGTTGTACTTAGTTTTAATTTCAAATTATACCATATTGCTAACCACATGTTTAAATAAACATGGTACAAATAATACTATTATTTTACTTATGTACTCATTTGTAACACCCCGACCCCAATTTTAATTATTCGTTAAATTGTTAAATTTATTTAAATTATGAAATTACAATTTTTGTCCTTGGGATATGGTCATTTTGGTCACTTTTTAATCCGATAGGATTTTTAGGAGTTTAATAGCACCGTTGCATAGAGCGCTTTGATACCAGTTCGTAAACACATAGTGGGCTCAAATCAAAGTTGTAACAAAGAATTTACGATCAACTGAAGTGCAGTGGCACAACCGTAAATAACTCGAAGTTGAAATTTTATAAACCAGATTGTTCTTCCTCTCTCTCTCTCTCTCTCTCTCTCTCTCTCTCTCTCCCTCACGATCCCTCTCATTTCGCACGACATCCAGCTGGCCATTCTTTTGCCGTTAGTTCTCTCATCCTGCCACCAAATTCGATGGGACTAGTACCAAAATGACCGGGCCGCCTTCCTCTTCCCGACCCACCCCACCTCCAATACAGCCCGCCGTTCCAGCCATCGTAAATTGCTCAAAACAGCCGGATTTTGTGTAAATTTTCGGTTGTCAATTCCGATGATTTCGGCTACCAAATTTGTCGATCTAGGTATGCTTTCTCATCCTTTCAACGTGCTCTAGTAGATGGTTGGGTTGATTATGATTGATTTTGAAGTTTTGAAACTCGTTTTTCGAATCAAAGTTTTGGCAAGTTTTCAACTTGAGTTTCCGACAAGTTCTGGTCACTTTTTGGTCATCGCCGAAGAACAAAAGTTGCTCCACTCGTTGTCCTAATCACGTAGATATAGGTATTGATTAGTGTTTTGAGAATTTTCCGGTTGCCGAAATTTTCTCAAGCCACCCACTCGTTGCCGGCGAGTGTGGCGGCATGTGGGCCATTGGGTAACCCATTTGGGAATGTTCCCCATGTCGTCCTGAGCACGACGGTATGCTCGGATTTGAATTTGGTTATCGTTTGATGGTCGAACGGACTTACGCATATTAGGCGTTATCCGAGTTCGATATATTCGGAATGTTGGATCGATTCCATTTTGAAATTTGTTGATCTAGGTACCTCTAAGATCGTGTAGGAATTAACGAATCAAGAACCGAAGTCCCGAATGCTCCGATTCAATGACTCAAAGTTTGGGTAAAACAGTGATCGTTGGATCGTGCGATCGTGAGCAATTTGACTGCTCGATCGTGAGCAATTTGACTGCTCGATCGAGACCAAACTTTTAGGACGTCTTCAATAAACTTTGTTGGACCTCTAGGAACTTTTGAATTTGAAATCGGAGGTCGTGGGCCCAGCAGGCTGGTTGACCAGAAATGGTAAGTTTGACCAAACTATTGACCACATGTCTTTTGAGATCATCCCGTCTTTCGGAATAAATTTCAAGTTTGAATCCCCAAATCTTCATTACTAAACGAGAAAGAAAGAATTTAAAATTTCCGTGATCCAAGATGTATTTGTGCCTTTTGATATGCTAGGAAAAGTCAAATTATATATCAACAAGCAATATGTTTAAGCAAAATGTGAATAAGATGGAACGGAAAGTAGGTGGCAAGAGGCTCACTAAAATTCTATGATAAACTAGAAAGAAAGATATTTCTATGCATAAGCTTAAACGCATCACGAACTTAATTACGTAGCTCTCAGTTTAGGGGTATGCGTTTGGAAGATATGATTATGGGTTTTCCAAGGATTACTTTTGTTAGTATTATTATTATTATTATCATTGTTGTTATCATTAATATTATTATTATCGCTTTATTTTGATAATTGTTATTATAATTCATTAATGGCTTGATAGAGGGGTTTAGTGGTAGTAAGGATCTAATTAAATGTCGATTACATGTTTATGCTCAAATATACGTCTATGTGTTTGAGTTGTGGGTACATTGGATATTGATGCGGGTTTTAAAAATGGTGTCTTGGAAAGTGAATAATAAGGGCTATGGTGACTTTGGGTATGTTATGGATTTTAGTTTTGGTGCATCAGTTTATGTGATTATTGGACTTTGATTTGCAATATCTTCGAAAATGTCGGAATTAGTATGTATATATTGATGGGCTATGGTTTTGGGAAATTTAAATATTGTGTTTTGGATTTTATTATCTTTTCTTGTGGGAATTTCAGAGGTTGTATATTTCCTAGGTATATGAATAGTGATTTGAATATTAATTAAATCGAATGGGCTTATCTAGTCTCAATGTTTTTCTTAATTATGGTTTTAATATGGTTTTTAAAAAGGAAGTATGAGTATTATTTTATTATATATATTTTTGTCATATGGAAACGATTTGTTTTGGAAATTTGATTTTGAGAGTATTATCTTTATTATATATTAGTTTATGAAAGTGTATTTTGGATTTTGGCGATGACACCCCATCTCATGTACCCCATTGGATACTGATTCTGGAATTAATGGATACTTGGAAACTGTGGTTATAGTTTGGATATGTCGGAACCTGAGCACCCTTGACAAGGTGTTACCGTAGACCCTTAGCGAGGTAGTCTGCGCGTGTAAGACTTATCACAAGTGCACGAGGATTGAGGATTTTGTTGTGCATGCTGGTGAGCCCAGTCCCCTAGTTGGACGATTCGTCCCTGACCAGATGATTGTTAAGGATTCCTCCATGTGGTTCAGCCAAACGATTCCCCCGTTGTATTGTTTTCCTCGATACATGATGTGTACTATCATATGTACCTCCCCTTGGATACTAATACTTGGAAACAATGGACATGGATACTTGGATACATGGAAGTGGATACTTGGATATGATCAGAACCCGGGCACCCTTGATGGAGTGTTTCGTAGACCTTTAGTAGGGTAATCTGCATGTGTAGGACTTGTCACAAGTGCACGAGTATTGAGGATTCTACTGTGCGTGCTAGTAAGCTCAATCCCCCGGTTGGATGGCTCGTCCCTGGCCATATGGTTGTTGAGGATTTCTCCATGTGGTCTAGTCAAATGATTCCTAGATTGGATTGTTCTTTCCCTGGTACATGATGATGGTGTGAGGTGTGTGTATTGATATATATATATATATATGGATTCGTTTTCGGATTGGGATTCTTGAACTGGTGCTTAGCGAGTAACTGCACAGGTATGAAAGTATGATTTATAGTTTGGAAAGTGTTGTTTGGCAATGTACACCTTGGATAAGGTATGGTTGTGGGAAAGAATTTATAAAAAGGAAAGGAACTCATAAAGTATTCAGTGGTTGCCTTGCCGAATTTGATATTGTAATGAATCTAAATTAAATCGTTGGCATTACTTTAAATAATCGAATATTATCTAAATCATGATTGTTGATATAAGAACTACGTGTGGCTTGATCCCTCATCAAAGGGTACGTAGGTAGCTTAGGGTTTCACCTAGATGTAGCCGCAACTTAAAATATTACATTGTTCATGCTGCTGAATGAGATTTATTAATATATTTGACAGGTTAAATTTTTGGAAAATGTCCATTTTTCAGGGGAGACTTTGTCGAAATTTCGGCAGAAATGTCATTCATATTTTTCTTAATTTGGAAAAAGAGGCTTGATGTTAGTAAGTGGGTCCGGCATCAGTTTGATGTCAGAAACAGCACAGGATTTGTCCTGGATTCTAAGGAATTCGGGGCGAGTCTTATCATCATTTCAATAAACTAATTTTATTTAGAAATTTAAATCATAAAATAATTTTATTTAAAATTTTAAATCATAAAAAATAACCTTATAGGTCTCAAATTTTGAGACAGCATAATTGGAGTAAAAAATAATTTATAAATGAATACTTGTATTTGAGAGGCCAAAATTTAGGTCTGCAAGATTTTGGTGTTGGAGATAGTATTTGGGTCTTTTATTTGTCGAAAGACCAACTTTAATATGATTGCAGAACGGCATCGTTCTCGCACTTGCCCTTTCGTCAAAAAGCTCAGCCTATTTTTCCTTTCTTCCCAATTCGACAGAATTTTCTCAGATAAAGGAAAAAGGGTGAGCTCAAACAGAGACAACGAGAGAGAGAACGAGGATGATGACATACGCAGCCTCAGCTTCAAGGCCACTGTGTTCTATTAATGGCGCTTCACAAACCCAAGTACCGATTTCACCCATTGTGAAGAGCAGTGGTCTTATTAGCAGTAGCAATAGTATTAGTTGTCGTAGAAGAAGCAAAGGCGTGTGTGTAATTAAGGCCTTAAAAAGCTCGTCGCCCACAAGACAGACCTTGTCGAGCAATTGGGATTTTCAGACAGCAACTACGTCATCTCCGCGGCTGCCCAGATTCGAAGAGCTGGATACTACCAATATGCTTCTCCGTCAGAGAATCATCTTTCTGGGTTCTCAGGTTTTCTTTTGTCTTTCTCTATTTATTTTTAGTTATTTTGTCTTTGATTGGTTTTTCTATATAGCTATGTTTGCTGGTTTTCATGCTTCAGCATTGAATACTTTGACATGGTTTTTGCTCCTTCCTGTCAAATTTGTACTATTTCCTGTTTGTTGAAAGTTAAAAGTGAATATTTGGAATGAATTACTATGTGTTTGTTTGTGTTTCTTAATTACTAGAAGACTAAATTGATAAATAGGAAATGGTTGCTTTATTTAACTTCTCTTCATTTTCAACTGATGGGCAGGTAGATGACATGACAGCAGATTTGATTATAAGCCAACTTCTATTTCTAGATGCTGAGGACCCAAAAAAGGACATTAAAATGTTTATCAATTCACCTGGTGGTTCTGTTACCGCTGGTATGTTTAAAACATATTCAGTATGTTTAATCCTGGCACCTCTTCTGAATTATTGCCTTTTGGTTTTTATCTATCCTTGATATTGAAGATAACAAAATTTGCAGATGAAACTACGTAATTTATTATATAAGTTGGGAAACCAATTTACAATTATAATATAATGTAAAGCATGGGTGTGCAAGCTAGTAAGTGAGGAAAACAGCATCATGAAGCCATACCTTGGTATCAAGCACAAAGGATTACATGCATGATAATGTATTATTTTTGCAAAATATTGAATGAGGAAACCTTAAAGAATGAGGACCAAAACAAAAAATTGCAATCCATGTAAGGCAAGTAATATATTGAATTGACTAAGCTTTAATATATAGTCTACTTACATGTAGCTACTGATCACTACAAATATAATTATTGCATTGAGCTTTACTAGGTTTTGGCTGTTAGCAGCAACTTGAAAAAAGCCTTCACCTCAAAATTGTGATACCTTTGTCACAATCTCAGAATGTGTCAAACTTGGATGCCATGTTTTCGTTGCCTTAGGGCATTAATGTCACCAGCTTGGTGGATTTGCCAGTCCCTCCCATATTGTGAAATATCCCCAACAAAAATCGTTTCTCGAAGTTGCTCAATAGACTTATTGTGTTAACTTTTCAGATGATTAAGAAAATCAAAATTTTCAGCTTCTAAGAATAGGGTCGCACTGATTACAGAGAAGGTAGTTGTTTAAGATTGGTCATTTGGGAAGACCCCAGAATGCACCAGCAGTAAGATTGAGTTGATTCAAGTTGATGCAGTAATATGAGGTGAAGTGAAGAAGACTAGAAGAACGCTCGTCAAATAGTGAGGAAGGATATGATTATTAGAAATGTATTAGATAAGATGCCTTTACCTCAGTATGATGGTTGTGCTAATGTTGGACAGTCCAAATAGTTATTCAAACAACTCTTATGTACTGAATGCCTTCTAGACATACAACATGAATCCTGACCTGTCATCAATTCCATATTCTGGTCTTTAATTTCATATTCCCATGCGGAGATATTGACATCTTTGAAAATTGGACTTTTTAAAATCGAACAATGTGAATGTTTTATATATGGAAAGCTTTCACATAAAATCCTAGTCATGACACTCTACATCTCTCTTAAATATCCTTGTCCGTAGTTCATTTATTTGAGCTAGGATTTTGGATCTGGATGAGGCAGACTTATTGATGATTCAGTTATGTTTGAAGCGAAAGAAAATGGATGAATTAAGAGTAAATGTGATGATTCATTTTGGCATGCAGACTTTAATGGTTCAATTTGGTATGCTTTCATTAAGAGTAAATACACGCTGCATGAGATGGTTGGGATTCTAACATCATGATTAGAGGTTCAAGCTGATGCCCTTGGAAAGACACCTCTGAAGGCCTCAACTCTTTTGATTTTTTTTTGTAAGACTGTGGTGGGGTATGGGGAATGGGTGAGATTTTGGGAAAACTGCTGGGTTGTGGAAACAGAGTCTTCTCGTTTTCCTCGAGTAGTTTAGATTTTCATGATTTCATACTGTTTCCATTGGTTGTTTGTGTTCAAGTCGTCCTCTTCTCGTTTTGCTTGGGAATTTGGGTTCCGTAGAAACTTGAATAAACAGGGTGTGGGTGGATTAGTTCATCTGTTGGATGTCTTAGAAAATATCTGTAGGATAACTTAATGTTTGGTGAAAAGTTAATGATTTTTGGAAGGAGGGGGTTTGGTGATGAGGAGTGTCCTGTGTTGGCAATTTTTTAGGTGGTTTGGTTGGAGACAAATAGAAGGTAGTTTGAAAGTGTAATGGGGGAGGAGGTCGATCGTTCAATTCTTTGAGTTTAACTTTGAGGACTGGTCTTTTCATTCTAATATTCTTTGATTGGAGTGTTATCTTGTAGAAAGTTTTGTAGTTATGTTATTTTGTTAGTTTTCCGTCAGTAGATGTTTGGTTTTTGGAGGATAACTTTTCTCCTTTGTTGTATCGTCTCTCTTTTATCTTTACATGATAAAATCTGTTTTTCTCATAAAAAATTGAAGTGAAGAAAAATGAAGAGAGTTCAACGGGAAGAGAAGTAGCAATTGCTATCTGTGTGACTATTGATTTTGGTCAAGGCCTATTGAATCACTAAATCTTAAGAATGAAGAAATAAAGTGATCGCATTATGTGCCTTTGAATGTAAAACTTTTGCATTATGTATGTGCCTTCAATTGTAAAACTTTATCATTATGTGCCTTTGATTGTAAAACTTTCTACTAGAAAAAGTGTCAATATTTTTCTCTTACATTTTCTGCCATGTAATACTGCCATTAAAGTATAGTGCGATGTATATGACTTATACGAAAAGGGCATTTTTAAATATTGCAACTGTGCAAATATAGTTTTGTGTGCCTTTTGGAGATAACTTTTGATTGTGTGATTGTAAGAGAAAGTGAATAAACAAGCAAAAACGAATTAATAAAGAAACAATAAGCAAGAAACAAGCAAGTGATGCAATTATAAGGAAGGAGAAACGTAGTTGATTTGTGTGAGGGGCAAAGAATATTTATATGATTTGATGTTGGGGACCCTTAGGTGATATCCAATCAAATTGGAATGATATTTTGGTGTGATGTTGGATTTATCATTTTGACTTGACATGGTTCTTTTATCTGAAAATCCAAATCTTCATCAATTGTTATGCATTTTGAATGACATAGAGGGTGGGAAAATTTCTGTGGGAAGGGAAAGAGTAGGGCAGAGGGCTGAGTGGTATAATGCCAGCAAAATGATTGAAAGAGGTTAGCTGAATAGAAAAACAGTTGAAAATGTGTCCATCTATTTCTGTTTGGGAAAAAATTGGCAGGGCTCGGGCCTAGCCGGCCCCCCTCTCTTGTTATTGAGAATATGACTTTTGTTGGATTGAGGATAATTTTTTTCCTTAAAGTTCTCTTTTGTTGTTCTTACCAATTTATCGCTGCATACAGGAATGGGAATATATGATGCAATGAAATTGTGCAAGGCAGATGTTTCAACAGTTTGTCTGGGGCTTGCTGCTTCTATGGGGGCATTTCTCCTTGCTGCTGGTACAAAAGGAAAAAGATTCTGCATGCCCAATGCAAGAGTGATGATCCATCAACCTCTTGGAACTGCAGGGGGCAAAGTAAGTGCTTGTTTTCTGCTTATTGTTGTGGATGTCCATATTTATTGGTCGGAGTTCTAAATCCTTTTTGCATGTCTAATATATGCATTATTGTTTGGTATAAAATTTCCTGAAGTTTCATGCTTCTAAGTATTGTTTGTTTTCTGTAATTTTTCAATATTTCCATCTATATTTCTATTAATCTGCTTTTTCACTGAGATCAATATGTTTATGCGTGGTTTTGTTGCATGTATTATTATTGATCCTGTTTTGTGTTTCTGATTCTAAGTTATAGAGGACCATTAATTGTTTAAGATGTGTTTACAAACTTAGCACACCCGAGACTGAGTCTCCAGTTTGAGGCATGGTCTTTGAGGGTAGTTCAAACACCTTCTTTCATTACTTCATTGCAAGATTTAACTTTTGTATAAATCCAAGTTCTCTTTTGATCAGAGACTGTAACTTATACATTTTATTTTATATTATTATAGGATTACCCATTCTAAGGGGAAAGTCCATTCTTGACTTTCGATTTCTCTGGAGTGTAAAGCATAAATGAATAATTTTTTTTAAAAAAAAAGCAAAAATCACTCAAGGAGGCATTTATAATGCCGTTGGTGCCTGTGTATAATGCTTAATAATGTATCATTTGACTAGGAAAGTTCTCATGCTCAAGAGTAATGTATCATTTGACTAAGAAAGTTCTCGTGCTCAAGAGTCATGTATCATTTGTTCCTAAACAAACTCTCCCATACTCAATAGTTTGTTCACAAGGTAAGGTAACATCCTTAATAGATCACCTTTGTTAGACTTTTGTGAGCTTTTGTACTTGTGAGTGGCGAGACCTTATTTTTTATCCTCTAGGAGTTGGTTGGTATCAGCCCTGCTTGCCTTTAGGTTGCTCTTCTGGTGTTGGATTTCTGCTAGGAATAAGAAAATCGTGCGACAATAAATCTTAAAGCAGAATGACCATTTTTTGCATTGTTGCGAGGCTTTGGCTTGTGACAGTTGAGCAGTGAGCTTCTCCCCTCGCTCCAGTTAATCAAGTGATGCCTGGTTTACCTTGAGGTTCATCTGGGGCAAGAGCAAATGAGTCCTGTGTACTTTTTTAGGACAATATTTTAAAATTTGGCATGTTGGGCACCCAAGGACGTCACGCTTGTGTCTGCCTGCACTTCTTTGGATGCTTTCCTTTGCTATAGAGTGAAAAGCTATCAAGGTGCTGAACACTTTTATGTATAGAAAAGTATGGCTATCTTATCATAATTTAAGATCTCTCTCTCTATATATAATATATATTTATATGAAAGATCTTTTCATAATTTATGATTCTACTAGAAAAGGTTTAGTCAAAGGTTTGTGGATGTCTACATAAATAGAAAAATACGAAGATATATTGACATGTCCTCATGCTTGCAATTTTGGAGGTTGTATGTGTCGGTTACTATGTATACACATTACGTGGGGTTAGACGATACTCATGCCCATACCCTCAAATCATAGTGTACAGATTATGATTTTTAAGGTGATGTTGGGGTTAGCTAAAGCCTCTGTCTAGTGCTTTTTATCTTGTTAGCTTTGGAATTTTCATTAGAATTTTGCTTTTTTCTTGCTGTAGACTTGAATTCTGGAGTTTATGCTTACCCAAGACTCCTGTTTTCTATTTACCAAAAAACAAAAAGACTCCTGTTTTCTTTCCCATCCATTTTAAATTTTTAATTCATTGAAATGCAGGGAAAACAGCTAAAGTCCACTTAAATAACTTTCAAGTTTCAAGTACATACTTTTTGCAATTGAAGTGCCTTTTGTTAGATCTTCAACTTGGGCAGGCTTGTGGTATTGTGATATATATTTTACGTTGCCAATTCATTTTCAATAAGGGATGAGGACTACCGTAGTTGTCTTCGTATATAAGTGAAATAGATTGGTCCTCTGCCAAAGGAAAGTGTACTTAAATCAACTTTAATAAAGTAATTTACGGCAATCAACTTCATAGCAAAGGTGGAACAATGCAGATGTGGCAAGTTTTAGTGTTTTCCTATGATGGTTAAACTTTAACATATCAACGCATGCATTAATTATGTCATGAGGATTTCAGTCATCTCCTTTCTTTTCTTTTTTATAAATTTCTTCCTGGCTAGAACGCATACATATTGATTAAATATTATGTTAGAATAGTACTGTTTTATTTATTTATTTACAATTCTAATACAATTGTTGGTGGTTCATGATTTATCCTTCAATTTTACATGCGAATTCAGGCAACAGAAATGGGTATAAGAATTAGAGAAATGATGTACCACAAGATTAAATTGAACAAAATATTTTCAAGAATCACAGGGAAGCCTTTGGAGCAGGTCAGGCAGCAAATGAGATTTTATTCCATAATAAATATTCTGTAAGGGAATTTTTCTCTTTCCTTTCTAAATTTCTTTTGTTGCTGCAGATTGAAGAGGACACAGACCGTGATAATTTCATGAATCCTTGGGAAGCCAAGGACTATGGGTTGATTGATGTAGTTATTGACGATGGAAAGCCAGGCTTAGTTGCTCCGATTGGAGATTCCAAAACTCCGCCCAGAACACGAGTTTGGGATCAGTGGAAAGTTGAAGGGACCAGGAAAGCCAGAAAGAATTTGCCCTCAGAGCAAAGGATTTCGGATAATGGATATAAAGAGACTGAAGGAAGTGACAATGAGAAAGGAGCCGAGAGGGAAAAGGAAGAACCTGCTGCTATATGATACATGATAGTGGACATGTCTTTTGCGTTTTACCTCTGGTTTATTTTGATTATGTTGTAATGTTCACCTCTCATAGTAAATCTTGATATGTAAATTGTTTGTCCAGATAGTGAAAGTAAATTATTAAACATTTGTTAGGAGATTGAAACATTTCTCATTGTACCTGTTGGAAAGGGCACATTTAGATGTTCCACAGACTTTGCTTCTTCACTGGCTTATCGTATGATTGGCCTATGCTCCTCGATTGTGGTGGAGAGCTGGTCGGAATAAAGGGGTCAGGTTAAAATATTTGGCTAGAAGTGGGCAAGGTAAGGTTCAGTTCGGTTCACCCTCAAAACTGAAAACAAAATTGAAAAACAGAACTGGTTAGGTTCGGTTTTGATTTATGTTAAAAGATTGAGCAATCGAACCAATTCATACCATTTCCAGATCAATTCTGTTCGCACTGTGAGAGTTGGACTCTTGAACTGGTTAGGTTCGGTTTTGATTTCGGTCAAAATTGCCAAAATGGGGTTTACGGCAGATCATGGGTTCACCAGTTCATGTACTTAGAGGGTATGGTGAATTTGCTATATATAAGTAAGAAAAAAAAACACTTCAAGCTAAGAAGAAGATATAACGATAGGGAAGGATGTGTTTTACCCCTATGTGGAGTTGAGGATTACAAGAATCATTTTGCAAATTTAAGGACCAAAATGCGAATCGGTACAAGTTCAACGACTATTCCTCCTAAAATTCTATTTTTTCAATCTTCTTTTTTTTGTTTCTGAAAAAAATAAAAATTCAATCAAAGCTTGTTTTGTTTTGTTGGTCTTGGATAATCTTCATTGGGCCTTTTGTATCATGTCCAGGCCCGGCTGTTCGAATTAAAAAGAAAAAGTAAAAAACGAAAGAAAGAAGCAAAGCTGCGAATGAAAGGCATATATCTCTTGGCGCCAAAACACCGAGAAATCCGTACTTGCCATTTCGAAAGGCACATTCCCTCTCTCGTATTCAATAATCGCACCTTCATATCATTTCTAGGGATCTTCCAAATCCAAATCCCAAATCCACAGCCAGAAACACACACTCACACAAAACAGAGAGAACCAATAACGAAACCCAGAAACGCTCGTTTTCGTAACGCCTGCACATTTTCTCTCTTCTTCTCTCTTCTCTCTCGCTCAAGACTCTAGGGTTTTGCTCTTTCCCTTTCTCCACCTCTCCCAAGTGCTGCTGCTACTCACTTCTCCAGAACGACGACGTTTCATCCCCTCTCGCGATGACCACAAAGCCGTCGTCCCTCTCTCCCTCTCGCACAACCTGCGCTTCTCTCCTCCGCGAATTGCAGGTTTTCTCTCTTACACTAGCTCTCTCTGATTTTCTTGGCTTTTCATTTTCCATGTGAGTTTAATTTTCGATTTTTAAATTGCAGATAATTTGGGATGAAATTGGGGAGGGTGACAGCGAGAGAGACAAGATGCTTCTACAGCTTGAGCAAGAATGTCTCGATATCTACAGAAAGAAGGTAGAAATGACGAGAAAGTACAGGACCGATTTGCACCAATCCTTGGCAGATGGCCAAGCCCAAATTACCGCTATCGCTTCGGCGCTTGGGGAAGCGGCTTCCTACTCACGTGAAAGAGGGACTCTCAAGGACCAATTATCTGCCTTAAAACCCATTTTAGACGACTTAAGCTTGAAGAAGGAGAAAAGGGTGAAGGATTTTTCGGCAATTCAGTCGCAGATTGTAAGGATTTCGGCTGAAATAGCCGGGAATGGTGTTTCTAAGAATGTTGGTGATCCGGGAGTCAATGAGCGTGATTTGAGTGTGAAGAGGTTGGGGGAGCTTCAGTCACACCTTGAGGAGCTTCACGAAGAGAAGGTACTAAGTGGTGTCTCTGCTTAGAACTCACAGATAATCTTAAATTTATCTTGGGTTTTGAATTTCACTTGTGTTTGCAATTGAATTTTTTGTTTTTATTTCTGGATATGCCTTGTGCAGGTTTTACGTTTGCAGAAAGTCGACGCTCATGTCAACACTATCCATGAACTTTCAGTTGTAATGTCAATTGATTTCTCTAAGACAGTCAATGAAGTCCACCCAAGCTTGAGTGATCACTCCTTGGCTCATTCCAAGAGCATCAGCAATGACACACTTGCCAGATTGACGGCTTTGACTAACTCACTAAAGCAAGAGAAACAGCAAAGACTGCAAAAGGTGACTCAACATTGAATCTCTCTCTCTCTCTCTCTCTCTGTTCAGTACATGAATTAGAACTATTTTATTACCTTGTTGAATTAGTCTGTAAAGTTCTGCCCCTTTAATTTCCCAGTACTGTCTTGGAAGCCAGAATTGAATATTCTCTGTTGCAGTTATGTCAATGTCAGGACTTTGTTGTCGTTTAATCTCTTCCAACCAAGCCTAGCCTTTTTTTTGTTTTTTTTTTTTTTTTTTTTTTTTTTTTTTTTTAGAAAAAATATTTTTTTTATGTTTGTTGAGACTAGCTAGAAGGTACAATGAAAATTCTATATTGAATTGAAAGATAAAGGGACGTGGGCTTGGCTAATTAAGTAATTTTTTGCAAAGCAGTTTCTGTTTCCCCTTTGCTTCGTGTACAGAAAAAGAAACATAAATTTAGCCCTGCTTCATAATCATTTGAATTTTATATATAAGTTATTCTTTAGAGTAATGCAGCTTAAAATCTGAGCCTTATGCTGTAAAGTATAAGTAAGATTTTTCCGTGGAGTCCATTTATACGGATTTTCATTACTTTGTTACAGTTGTCATTTATCAGAATTTCTCTCACTCTATCAGTATATGTATGTTGTAGCTACAAGATCTTGGCAGCAAACTCATTGAACTCTGGAATCTCATGGAGACACCAATTGATGAACAGAAAATATTTGACCATGTTACTATGTTAATTTCATCCTCAGTTAATGACGTGTCAAGAGAAGGATGCCTTTCTCTAGATGTAATTGAACAGGTGCTAATTATTATCTTCAGTTTCTCTTGGAATTGCTCATGTAGAGAATATTGTGCTGTTATTTTAATGAATATGTAGTGCTAATGACTGCATGGTTATCATTACAATTTACTGATTCTAGGCTGAGGTTGAAGTTGAGAGATTGAATATTTTGAAATCCAGCAAGATGAAGGAGTTGGTGTTTAAGAGGCAAAATGAGCTGGAAGAAATTTACAGAGGGGTCCACATGGATGTAGATAGTGATGCAGCTAGACAGATTCTCAGCAGGCTCATAGATTCTGGTCTTAACGACCCTCAAATTTTTGGCCTCTTATATATAGTTTTAAGAATATTTATAAAAAAATTATAATGGTGAAACTGCCCTTGAAAATATGATTGTGGTGCATATGGCTTAACAGGTAATGTCAATTTGTCTGATCTGCTTTCAAGCATGGATGATCAGATTATAAAGGCCAAAGAGCAAGCTCTAAGCAGGAAGGATATTTTGGACAAGGTAGAGAAGTGCATATTTGCATTTGAGGAGGAAAAGTGGCTTGACGAATATGAAAAGGTAAAAACATGAGAAAAATTGTACAATTAAAATTATTATTATTATTATTTTTCAATAGTTTCAGAGGTATTAGTTGTTCTTTTTCTGTTCACAAATCCCCTTTTTATTAGGGGTTATTGAGGATACTTTTAGCACATGCTATTTAAGGAGAGGACATGCTTTATTGTATAGCCTTCCAGTGTCTCTTTCTTTTAGTGTTCGGTTGTTTTGTCAGATCCAAGTTTTTACATGTGACAAATTAATTATGTAGATAAATTTTATTTAATTTTATAAACCAGAATGTAAGTTTTACAAGTACCTTATTTCTGTTTCCTTCAAATTTCCTGTTGTTTTTTTCTTGCAGGATGAAAATCGCTACAGTGCAGGAAGAGGAGCACACAAAAATTTGAAGCGTGCTGAGAAAGCTCGGATTCTGTCTGGAAAAATACCATGTAAGCTTGTGATAATTTATTTGAACATGGGGACCTCATATAATAATACTTGTTAGACAAATGCTTTTTCAGTTATGTCATGTATTTTGTTCGGTATGCCCTTAAGAAAGGTACTTGTCAGGTTTTTTTCTATTTGTGGCTATCTCAAGTTTATCTTCTTCTTTCGTATGACAGAAGATATGAACACTTGACTTATTAATGTATCTCGCTCTAGCGTTTTGGTATTAGTGTTTAATTGTTGTATAACAGTATTTAAACTCATTTGAAGTATGGTTTGCATTTTGGCATTTTTGAATACCTTCAAGTATATTTATGTCCATGGTCATGGTGTATTGTATATTCCTAAGAGTTTATTTTGTTCAGTTGACTTCATAATTCCTGATAATTGCATGCATCAAATTATTGATCAGTATACTTATTTGTCTTCCATAAGTACTTGAAAAGGCTTATGCTCCCGACTCTCTGCAGAGAAGCAAAACTAAGGAAATTTTTTATGCTTTCTTGTTTTAACAAACTAATATTATCCAAGTATCTTGTTCTTCTTGGAGCATTTTGGTATCCTTACCTTTTCTAGAATAGTACTTTTCTTCTATTACATTTATTTGTAGGCTATATAAGATCTGGTTGAACCGAATAAGTTGAGAGTTATAGGAGCTCAGAGACTTAAATAAATCTCAGACCTGGGGCAAATGTCATTAGAAGGGAAACTGTTTGCATGTGGTTCAACTACGATAAAAGAGAACTGACGTCTATGAGCCAAGTAGAACAGAAGTACCAGAAATTTCGTGCAGAAGCAAATCACAGCCTTATGGTTTGTGTGTAGAGGCTGCATTACGTTGACTACTTTTGTTCTCAAAAGTGCTTTGAAAAGTCATGGCATGAAGCATTCATGTAATAAGATCTCAGTATACAGACCCCTAAGTTCTTGGGGTCTCAGTTTAGACCCCTATTATCAGACCATAGTTTAGATTTGATACGAGTATGGAAAAGCAACCAACTTGATTGTTTATTCTGTTCTCCTTTTCTGGGATTGGCTAGGCAATGACTAAG